GGTTGCAATATAGTCAGCAATTAGCTTTAAAAATGAATCCTTTAGGTCCTCCAATTTGCATGACGGAATGCACTCATCGCGTAGATACTCAGCAGCCTCCACATGACCTGGATGAGATTTCAGTATAAGCTCTATAAGCTCTTTGTCGATCTCTTTTAGTTCCAAAAGACGACGAAAAACTGTGACGATGGGTCGCGAATCATTGGGATCGTAGCATCCATATGTAATCATCACGTCGAGGGTGTTCTTGTCAAGGTTATCGCATGAAATAAGGAAAAGCGATTTAAGATGGTGGTTTTCGATCATTGTCGGGGCATCCTTTATGTATCCAAACACTTCCTTGAACGGAATAGAACGATTATGCAAAATAGCCGTCGCGATGAGCGTCACAAGCTGATCATCTCTGGCGACTTTCGCGAAGCCCATGATCGTATCATTGTCCCACCCATAAGTTACCAGCTTGACATAGATATCCATATCGAAATTGGTGCTTCCAAACTCTGGAGACTCCATTAAGCTCAGGAGTTTTTTCACGTTGTTGTTACAAAGGCACTCGCTCAAGTTATAGTTAAAGCCCTTCATCCCTAATTGTGAATATTCGTCCTAATAAAATTTTGATTTTTGCAGTATTTCCTTTGATTTTTTCACAGAGAAAGAAGAAAGAACAACAACAAGAAAAACGAAAAAAGAGGATCCACAATTCAATCTTCAAAAAAAGTTCATCCTCAAACTTCGAGAATCGAAGAGAGAGAAAGAGACTCTCTCTCTATCGTAAGTTCCCCTATAGCATGTAAGAGATGATGGACCAGTTTTATTCCCCATAGTTCTCCTCTTGTGACAGAAAGCAACATGATAATGGACGCGTATCCATAACTTACCTCATGACCGCTTCTCCTCTCCCCCTATCCAGGAGCCAAAATCGTCCCCACCCGCCACGGTCTTTGCTTCCCTTCCCTCCCTTGGACTCAATACTCCGAGCTACAGTAATTGATCAGCACTCGAGAAAGTGTGGCCGGTAACGACGCGATCACCGGACCGTATTTGGCCGTGTTTTCATACAAATCGAAGAGCGGCACCGCCACCAACTCCATATCCGGGGCCAGGTTAAAATACCCAATAGGCTTCATGTGCACGAGGAAGATCGTCCGCACCTCCTTCACGTCGCTGGCGGAGATGTGTGAGGGGATATACGGGTACATCAGAGGACTAAAATGCGGGCGATACCACCGAGCGAGGACCTCGCCGACGCGGAAGAAATTCGCCGCCTCGGCGGAGGGCGAGGCGGCGGTCACCTCGACCACCGTCTCCGACGTCGCGGGGTGGATGGCGTCGCCAGGGGGGTCCGTCTTCGCCTTCTCTTCACCGAGGAGGTGGCGGCCGAGTTTCCGCAGTAGCGCGGCCTCCTCGGCCTCCCCGCGGCGGCAGCGACCGCCTGGCAGGCGATAATAGACCCCCCCCACACCGAGAACGCGCCCGCCGCTCGCGTCGCGATTCCGCGCGATGGTCTGCTTCAGCAGAAGGATGTGGGGATGGCGGTGGAGGTGGGCGATGAGGACGGCCTCGACGGAGGCCACGCAGGACTCCTCCTGGCAGTGCGCCTTGAGGCTCAGAAGCTTCTCCAGGGGTGTCTTCCGCCTCGGGGGCTTCGTCGGGCTCGCGGCGTTGGCTCGGCCCCACACGTTACTGCCCCCTGCCGTCCCTGTTTTCTGCTCGTGGTCGGTCGACGACTGGATGTAATTCTCGACCGGATAAACATCCAACTTAGGCTTCAGCGACATTCCCTGCTCCTTATCTATGGATTTTATAGATGGGTTTATACTCTAACGTCAGGCAAGCCTGTACCGACTCTCTTACGGACAATTTAAACGTGGTCGTCGTGGGAAAAAAAAAGTAACCGTAACAATAAGCAGAAAAAGACTGAAAGTGGAGAAACAAGCCATTTCGGTCGAAATTTAGGGAAGCCCGATTGTGATGTTAGCATCTTTTTGACTTACGCTTCAACCTTGTTTTGTTGTGTCCAGGGATCAATGCTTACACACGCGTACTGAGGCATTTTGAGCACTAGTGGATTGCCTAAGCCGCTCTTATTAATAATCTTACAGTCTTAAAAGCGCAAGTGATGCAAGTAACGCGGAAAAAAAAAGGAAAATCCATCCAAGACAGCCTCGTAAAGCTATACAAAGATTTATCCATCTTTAGAAAATAAAAAAGAATAACAGAGAACCAAATCGGTTTCTGTCGAGGCACCATCTCAAATCTACTTTGGGGGCTTCGCGATACCTTTGTGCTCGGGGTGAGTAAAATTATGGGATGCATTAAGATACTTGCTCATGTCAAGCTGTGGAGCCCTCGTGACCTTTCCAGTCATCTCCAACTCGATTCGATCAACTTCCTTCGAAAGATTCACAAATTCCGCGACGTGGTGTACACCCACGATCCGGATCCTCACAACGGTCTCAAGCGGAATCTTTATCTGATAGGCGTTCTGCGCTGCCACCACTTGAGTATCCTTCGTTACAAAGTAGGCATACAGCCCCTGCAGGAGCGTCTGATGCGAGATCACTAGAACAGGGGTCGAGCTCGCTTGAATGTCGTGAATATGGGGCTCCAGGCGGGTATTGAAAACATGACGAATTGACTCCCCGTTCGGCCAGGGTGTGTCATAGGAATCCGCCTGGATCGCCAGAAACGTGGAATGCATCGTCTTGCGAATATCCGACAAGAGTAGACCATCACAGTCACCATAGCTAATGTCTTCGAGATTCGGAATGTAATCCACGTGGCAGTTGAGCTGCACCTTCTTTGTCTCCTCTTGATCGGAAGCGGAAGGGTTGGACGCCCCTTTGGCACTTTCCTCGGCAAAATAACGAGCCGTTTGCATACACCGTGCCGAGGAACTCGACATCACCAGCAAAGGCGTAGAGGCACTGACCTCCTCCTTGAAAAAATTAAAGAGGGCGATGCTGTAGGCCACACCTCGAGCTGTTAGCTCGGAGTTTCCACCAATGCGGCCTGAAATCAAATTAACGTACTCGCCAGCACGGGTCAAGTAGAGATTCTGCTGAGACTGGTTGAAGTTGTGAAGCATGTACGCAAGTCGAGACGGCATCCAACCGGATATCATATTAAGAAAGTATATATCATTATCCTGAATTTGGATATACGAAAGCTCAGAGTCTCGGATGGGATTCAGGGCTTCATACATCATCTCGTGTCGTGCGATGTTTTCGTAATACCGCTGCACAAAATTATCGGGAGGATCCGCATGTATCTCGCGGGACCGCATGATGTTTCGGTGGATTTTCTCCTTGTCATTGGTCACGATCTCGACAAAAATAATGCGGTTTTGACGGATCGGTTGGTGATCCTTGAGGGCGCGCAGGATGGCCTGGCGTCGAGCATTCGTCGCGTTCGTCCCATCCAAGATGGCCACCCCATCCGTGCTCGCCAAAAACGTCATCATATCCTTGGTGATCTCCAAGATCACCTTGTTCCCGACGTCGGCCGGCACCGGGGCCTCGCCCACGGCCGCGCGCGCCGCCATCGTCGCCAGCCCGCAGCGCTGCAGGTAGTCGTGCTGGTAGGACTGGTGGGAGAAGACCCGACACTTCAGGCCGTTCCACTGGAAGTAACGACGAATCTGCTGCCCAACGTAGCTCTTCCCCCGCCCGGGGAGCCCCACCATGATGACGACGAGCGACCCCACCATCGGCTGCGGCACCGACGAGAAGGGCAGCGAGTGCTGCGAGTTCGGGCTGGAGGGGCCTTTGCTGAGGCTCATCGGATC